CAAACTTATACAAATTAAGGAAAATTACGTGGACAACGGCGACCACTGTACTTACAGACTTTTTTTATTTCTCGTCAATCAGATTTATTGATTATATTAGTCTTCACACATGATCAAATGGTGATCACCATTATCAGTGAAATCTAAGTTCTTATTTCTAGGTTAAATAATTTAGAATAAGACGACTGGATCGTTTGGACAATACTAATATTCGCCATACCTTTTAGAAATCCGTCGCGGATTTGTCTGCAGACACATAATCAGCGAGCAGTAGCAGGTCCAGGTAGCGTATGCACAGGGGTTTGCAGTATTAATAGAATACAGTAATTAATGCAAATATACAACGACAATTAACGGTACTTGCCTTCATTTGTGTTGATAGTTTGTTGAACGGCACGCGGGCTACGTGTATCTTCTAATGCCCTCCGCTTATGTCACTGATGACGAATGCACGAAGGATTTCGAAATGTCAGAGGAATAAATGTATTGTCCCAACCATCAAGTCTTCTTTATCTCCATTACTTCCTAGGACACGCTCTTCTCTTGTGCTGGCAAGTTAAATAATTTCATAAACATAGACAGACAAATATTCGTCTATTAGTCATTAATTAAATACACCGCAACTCTAAATTAACAACGTTGTTCTCATAGCGATTTTAAATATAGCGTTCTCCCACATCTGAAAACAACGTAAACGAACTTCATGGAGGAAACGTTCGCTCACTATGGATAAGTTGGTAATTTAAAGATTATAACCGATCACCCCATTTAAAACTTATTAATTTTTAACGGTACTGTCAAGATGTACTCTTTGAAGAAGGTATTGTCCTGTGACGTCGGTTATGAAGATGACAACAAAAACCTGGTAGACATAGTCATGAAAATTTTGACAGCTACTTCTTGCATCACTATACTTGAATCTTTTTAAATTTTAGTCTATATTCGAATATCAGGCTAACTGCTAATGGACATGCTCAAAATTAAACTAACTCCACAGCTTTTTAAGTGAAGGCTGCACTTAAGGACTATCTCCTTCAATAAGTTTTCTTCTACTGGGTATAAATTGCAGAAAATGTCTGTAAATTTAGTGTTTGCATTTAGTCACTTACAACGCATTTTGTAAATTTTCGATTTTATTAAATGAATGTAAATGGTAGTATTTCTTTTATGTCTGTAATTTACCTGACATAGTTAGGTCTTAGTTCAAAAGATGCCTCAATTTTTATGTATCAGTTTACCAGCGTGTAGCAAAAAACCCTGAAAAATACTTGGTTTAAATCCTGCAAAAGCCTTTTGGCCATTTTATCTGTGCAAAAACGTACTTTTATATAATGTTTAAGCAGATATGTTATTTGATCTTCTATAACAACGTGCACGTGTATGCATTCTTCAAGCTCATTTTAGAACCATTTGTAAGACATTTCATGCGTACGTTTCCCAGACTTTTCGTTTTGCTACATTTCAGTCGCTGTCTGAGGTAATGCATGGATCTCTAAATTTCATTGGTGCTTTATGGTCCAATGAAACTCAGCAAGCGTATTGGTCATTCAGTTTTTAATGAACTAAAACTAATATTTTGCCTTGCGCAGAAAACAGTGTGGACCTCTGGATTTTAAAGCAGATCACGTTCCAGAGGCTTTCAAAACACTGCCAGACAATAAAATTTAACACCTGGAAATGGATATGACGTGCCCAACTAACACATCTGCATATACGTTTCTTCGTAGAGATGTAAGTTTTCGCTGCTAATTGGTACAGGAAAATTAGAGTACAATTATTTTCCGAGAAAGTATACGTATCAACTTTTACTTCATTTTTTTTATCTTAACTCGGCATTGGATATGCATCTTATAAATATATTTTCCACAATCGTGGTACTCCATGAATGACATACGTTTTCCGGCTCTATGTCTTCTGCTAACAATTTTTGCGCCTTCACCTTATTTTAAGACTTTATTTAGAAATAGAAGTTCCGCTTTATTTTTTAAATGGCACTTGTCTGTCGTCGAATATTTAAACTCTTAGTCAAATTAATAAATATTGCGATGTAAGCAATCCAAAATTCCCGTACCGGTGCAAATTTTGCTGCGAATTATATGATTTAAATACACGTCTTGTGAGGTGTACTTAATTTTTGATTACAAATAAGCAAATAAACGCCATTTAGTCATATTCAATCTAATGTTCTCGCACTTTAATTCCAAGCAAAGTTTGTTCATCTTCTGACTTAAAGCATGTTGTCCATCGGTAACGGTATAATTAACATGGGAATATTCAATACAGAGAGTTTAGTTACACCTACTTATTAAAAAGATTTAATTTATTTTTACTAACTATACTGGTTACCATTTTGATGATTATTTTATAATTAAACACGTAGTATATGTCCAAGAAAAGGACGATTTTGAATGCTTGAAGTTACTTAGCCAACCATATTTATCAAAACGGTCAGACTTTTACCGTGTCTTTCAGGTGCCAGTGGAAAGCGCATGCTTTCGCGCAACCCCAAACTCAAACAACTTCCAATTTTTTCTTAACATCACGACTGCGCCATACCTTAGTAGGTCCCCAGAATACCAACTAGCCTGTGACAACTCCACTTTCTCCGTCACAGACTCCTCCGTTAGATGTGATCGGATCTCTAGTCTGAGTTCGCGAAACCACTATTTTACATTCTTAATGCAGACGCGGATACAACCGATTGCCATCGTTTTAACACTTATAAGCAACAGCCTACTTACTTACACCATAACTCGACCTGCAATGCGAACTCCAACGAATCTCTTGCTACTCGGTATCGCCATTTCCGATTTACTGACTTGCCTCCTACCCTTGCCAGTTTACCTTTTGTATTTTACGGACGTCTTCGACAAGAACCTCACTGTGCTGAAAGCCTACGCCAGCTACACTCTCTCCGTGTCCTTGCCTACAGTGTTCCACACTGTTGCCATCTGGCTCACCTTGCTGCTCGCTATTCAGCGCTTCATTTATATCACAATGCCACTGTCTATTCAGCGACGTCAGATCTGCAAATTCAGTGGTGTCTGGGCCGCCTTTGGTCTAACGATCTTGCTCGCTGTTATTCATCATTCCAGTGCTTTTTTAACTACCTTCGAAGAGGGAATTACCATTTGCTATGAGCCTGCTGACTCCGAAAACGGCAGCCTAAGCAACAGCAGGGAGCCTTACGGCCGGCAAAAACATATGGTGGTGACCTATCAAGAAGTGCTTCTTAAGTGTACCCCGTTTCCTGAAAGCACCTTTTTCATACTGCTCTTTCTTCGCGTTCTAACAATTCACCTCGGACCTAGCGTTTTTCTGTGCGTGCTCACGGCATACATGAGCTATACACTTCACCAGATTGGAAAGAAACGGAAACAATTGCTGATGAAGAACAGTAAGATGGAGGAACTGATGACAGCT